AGCACATGGTATAACGGTTATGTCTAGATTCCCATATGGCCAACCATGGTTTGAGTCCCAGACCTGGTGACTTTAAACTAATGCTGGGCATGTGTGTGCACATGTCCGAAATCCCAAGAGGAGGATGGAGGAAAAGGGACTGTGAAGTGACCATCCCCCCTGGAGGGTGATTTCTCGCTCTCTACCTCTCTGTCTCTCCAGCAAGCTCACATGCCCTGTAGCAAAAATCTCTCTAAAAAAAAAAGACCAGAGGGACCAGCAGGTGGTGTGGTGGTTAATGCGCTGGACTCCCTCATGGTCAACTGTGGTTCAAGTCCCAGACCAGCTTGCTTTTTCACTTTCTCTCTCTCTCTCTCTTCCTCTCTCTCTCTCGAGCATGCATGCCCTATAGCAAATTAAATAAAAATTAATTAAAATTTTTAATTTTTTTTAAAAAAATTAGACTAGAAAGCCATATGACCATATACATCTGTAGGTAATATGGAAAATTGTCTTAACTTGTATAACTGGACTTTGGGTCCAAAAATAATTTATTCCTTAAGAATTTATAATCCTATGCTGGCCCCCTCATAGGTTTTGGTGAGTTTCTTAGCCTCTCTGAGTCCCAGTTTTCATGTTTATAAACTGGGGTAGTTATGAAATCCAGGTGAGTTAACCAAAGTAAAGTGTTTAACCTATATTAAGTGCTGTCATAGTCAGATATTATTACTATTTATTATGTAAGAAATTGGGAATTTTTTTAGTGGAATTTTTTTTTTTTGAGAGGTTTTTGCTATAGGGTGCGTGTGCTCGCCAGAGAGACAGAAAGCGAGAAATCACCCCCCAGGGGGGATGGCCACACCGCAGTCCCTTCTCCTCCATTCTCCTCTTGGGATCTTGGGCATGCATGCACATGCGCCCAGCGTGAGTTTAAACCGTTGGGTCCAGGACTCGAACCGCGGTCGACTATGTGGAAGTCCAGTGACATAGCCATTATACTAACTGCTGGCCCCTTTAGTGGAATTTTTTAAGTGGAGGCTATCCAGTGTTGTGTTGGTATATGTAACAACCAGCTTTGGAAGGTGGGAGGAAACCCTGATTTATGATGTTGGCTTGTTTCTGTGGTGTAAACACTCCCTCCATGGTAAATTTCTTTTTTTTAAGAATTATTTTATTTAACATTGTTTATTTACTTACTTATTTTAATTTGACCAGAGAGGGACAGCAGAAGAGAGAGAGAGAGAGCCAGGTCCAGGACTTGAACCGTGGTCAGCCATGTGGGAGTCCGGCACCCCTAACCACTATGCCACCTGCCAGCCCCTTCATGGTAATTTCAAGCTACCCATCTGATGTCACTAAACATGGAGGTAAAAAAAGATGGTCACACTTAGCTTTTCAGGGGGACCAGCAGATGGTGTAATGGTTACATTGCTGGACTCCTACATAGTCAACCATGGTTTTGGTCCTGGATCTGGTGGCTTAAAACTCAGGCTGGGCATGTGTGCATGCCCCAAGATCCCAAGAGGAGAATGGAGGAGAAGGGATTGCTTTGTAGCCATCCCCCCCAGGGAGTGATTTCTTTTTCGGTCTTTATGTCTCTCTGGCAAGCACATGTGCCCTATAGCTATTAGCTTTCAGGTAGGAGCAGGTTTTGGCACTCCACTGAGACTAACAGGATGAGCTTATAGCCCATTCTGACCACCAGCTTTTTTCTGAAGTTGTTCCCTGTGGTTCACTGTTGATTTTGTACTGCTCAATATAATTTAGCCAGAAGAATGTTCTGGATTTTGGGACCATCAGTTAGCGTAATGGCTATGCCAGTAGACTCCCATGTAGTCAACCGCGGTTCGAGTCCCGGACCCAGTGGCTTGAAGTCACGCCAGGCGTGTGTGCTTGCGTACCCAGGATCCCAAGAGGAGAATGGAGGAGAAGGGATTGCGGCGTGGCCATCCCCCCTGGGTGGTGATTTCTTACTTTCTGTCTCTCTGTCTCTCTCTGTCTTTCTGGCGAGCACATGCACCCTATAGCAACCCCCCCTCCCCCCAAAAAAAAGAAAAAGAATGTTCTGGATTTTTACTGGTTTATTAGGCTTGAGAGCACAGGATATCAATGGAAGTTTAACATGTCCTTCTCTTACTGTGTTCTCAAAGGGAAATAAGCTAATGAGTGCTGAACCCATCCCACTGTACCCCACCTTCCTCACCCTCATATTCAGCAAAAGAAAAGAGCAAGGGAGAGCCAGAGCACCAGGACTAGTGCAAGTCAGTCAAATCCGTCTTTATAGATTTGCTGCTTCTGGATATTTTGTATAAATTGGAATCATATGATATGTATATACCACATTTTATTTTTCCATTTATCAGCTCACAGACACTTGGGTTATTTCTATATCTCGGCGCTTGTGAATAATACTGCTATGAACATTCTTTACAAGTTTCTCTGTAGACATATATCCTCATTTCTCTTAGGTATATATAACTCAGCATGAATTTGCTGGGTCATACGTTAACTTTATGTCCAACCTTTTAAGGAACTGCCAGATTATTTTCCAAAGTGACTGTCCCAGTTTACATTCCCACCAGTAGTGTATTGGAATCCTTATTCCATTATCTCCACATTCTCATCAATATTTATCATTGGGACAGCCATGACATGGTGGTTAAGGCATCCGAATCCCAATGGCTGACTGCACAGTTCAAATCCTAGACCCAGTGGCTTGGAAAACATGCCAGGCATGGGTGCCCAAATCCCTATAGGAGGGAGAAATAGAGGAGAAGGAATTGAAGTATGACCATGCCCCGTGGTAGGTGATTTCTCACTTTCTATCTTTTTTTTAAACAATTATTTTTTTAACTTTATTTATTATTATTATCATTATTATTTTCCAGTTTGATCAGAGAGAGACAGAGAGAAAGGAAGTGAGAAAGCAAGCCACCAGGTCCAAGACTTGAACTGTGATTGGCCATGTGGGAGTTCAACACCTTTAACCACTATGCCACTTGCCGGTCCCCTCCCTCTCTTTTCTTTTTTTTTGTTTTTTTTCCTTCTCTCTCTCTCTCGATCTTTTTGGTCATAGCCAACTTATAAAAAGATAATGTCTCATTGTGGTTTTGTTTTTCTCTTTCCTAATAATCAGTGATCACCTATGTAATCTAATTTTTTAAATGTTTTTCAGTTTTTGCTATATGGTATATGTACTTGCTGGAGAGAGTAAGTGAGAAATCACCCCCCAGGGGGATAGTCACATTGCAGTACCTTCTCTTCCATTCTCCTCTTGGGAATTTGAGCACATATGCACATGTGCCCAGTGTATATTCCAAGTTGCTGGGTGTGGTACTTGAATCATTCAGTTGGCCACGTGAGATTGAGCTGCCTTAACCACCATGCCCCTGGCTGGCCCTTAATTTTATTTTTTTAAGAATTATTTATTTATTTAATTCCATTTGTTGTTGTTGTTGTTGTTTTTTAATTTGATCAGATAGAGACAGAGAAAGAGAGCGAGAAAGGGAAATTGAGAAAGCAAGCTGCCAGGGCTCAAACTGCAGTTGGCATGTGGGAATCTGTCACCTCTATCCACTATGCCACCTGTCAGTCCCCCTTAGACTTTTTAAAAAAATAATTATTTATTGAGGGGACCAGCAGTTGGCATAATGGCTATGTCACTGGACTCTTCTGTGGTCAACCGCAGTTCGAGTCCTGGTGGCTTAAACTCACGCTGGGCACGTGTGTGTGCACGCCCAAGATCCTGGAAGGAGAATGGAGGAGAAGAGATTGTAATGTGGCCATCCCCCCTAGGAGACGATTTCTCACTTCTGTCTCTCTGTCTCTCTCTGTCTTTCTGGTAAGCACACATACCCTATACCAATATATATATATATTTATTTATTGGGGCCGCAGGTGGTGTAGGGTGTGTGGTTAAGGGTGCTGGACTCCCACATGGCTGACCGCAGTTCAAGTCCTAGACCTGGCGGCTTACTTCTCACTTTTCCTCTCTCTCTCACACACATTCTGTCCCTGTCTGGTCAAATTTAAAATAGATAAATAGATAAAGTTAAAATAAAATTATTCTTTAAAAAATTATTATTAATTTAATTTAATTTATTATAATTATTATTATTACTATTTATTTGGTATAGGGCACGTGTGTTCACCAGAGTGGGGGGTGGAGGAGAGGCGTGAGAAAACAAGCCACCAGGTCTAGGACTTGAATCACGGTTGGCCATGTGAGAGTCCAGCGCCTTAACCACCATACCACTGGCCAACTCCAACCCTTAAATTTTTCAATAGTCATATTTTAAGAAAAAGAAACTGGTGTGAGGCCAGCAGATAGCATGGTAGTTAAGGTGCTGAATCCTACATGACTGATTTTATGGTTCGAGTCCCAGGCTTGGTGGCTTGAAAAACACTCTGTATGTGTGTATGCATGCCCAAAATCCCAAAAGGAGAATGGAGGAGAAGGGGTTGTGGTGTGGCCATCCCTCTCAGGGAGTGATTTCTCACTTCCCTTCTCTCTCTGTCTCTCCTCCAAGCACATGTGCCCCCACTGACAAAAAAAAAAAAAAAGAAAGAAGAAAGTGATGAAGTTCATTATAATAGTCTTTTATTAACTTTATTATCTCTAAAGAATTATCATTTTAAAATGTTACCAATATAAAAATTACTAATGAAATATTTTTCATTCTTTTGTTGTCTGAGTCTTAAACCTGGTGTGTATTTCAAACTCACGGCATAACTCTAATAAAGACTGGCCACATTTCAGGTACTCGGAGGCCACATGTAACTCGTGACCATTGCATGGGATAGCACAAGTCAAAGGGAAGAAAGTTGTAGAAAGGTGCAGAGGCAGAGAAAAGAGTCTGGAAAAAAGCAGAGAGGTGGACAGAGCAAGAGTGTTTAGGGACTGGA